CCCCAAAACCCCAAAACCCCAAAACCCCTCTTAATTTTGAAGAAATTGAGGACAAAAATAATAAGTATCATAAAAATGTCTGAACAAAAGGTAAGCTTTCAGTCATCTTTAGAATCAAACATCAACTATTCTAATAGCTTCAGAAGGATATTATTGGTGTCTTTATGATAGAAATGCAAGCTTGGTTAGCTTATGGGTATGTCCAAGATGTAGACATCTTTGCCACATAATTTAAAACCCTTAATTATAGCTTCTTGTATCAAAATCCAAAGACGCAGCATAGAACTCTGATATCATAAACCCATTTTACTTTTGTATCTGTTTGCTTTAAATTTCCAAAAATCACCTCATGTTTCATTCTAAAGCTTATAGAGTTCTTTCAATTCAATGTGTAATCTAGTCAATGCCGAGGTACTTCTTGACAATAGAGCTCTTGCGTTTCTTGATAAGCTCAATGAGCTGTATCTTACTGAGTCTCTTTTTCGATTCTATAAATCTTCACCCACAAATTACCAATTTCTTCCTTGTATTCATTCTCTTGGACCATTGTTCTCAGAAGTTTGTCTACCTTAGTGTCTCCTTCTGGATGCTTGATCTTCTTCCTCATGTTGAGCTGGCGGATCTACATCATCAGGGAAGCCACAAACCTTATCAGTGACTGTCATATGATCTGAAATATTCAGAGGAATTATGTTCCTTGAAAGTGAAAAATGGTCTTCCTTCTGCATGATTGAAGATAGCATTCTATCTGCTTCAATGGGGCTATACGAGCTCATGGAGATACTAGAGAGTTAATACCCACCGCTTACTTTTTGTTTCTTGAGTTATGCTGACTCTTAACGATTTTACTAAGGAGTCATGACCAGTCTTTACCTTATCCTTTGAGCATTCAGTCGAGGTCAGTTGATGAACTTGCTGAATATTGATTTCTTCTCCCGTTTCTTCATAGCCATGCTATCATTTGAGTCAATTTGATGTGACTTTGCCAGAAAGCAAAAAGAGTCTTTCTTCCTCAATTTAAACTTTCTCCTTCTCTAAATAAAAGTTTAGGATTTTTGCCAAATGAGTAGCTTACCTTCTCTGGAGACTTCTTCTCAAGTTCCACTGAAAAAATATGTTGATTCTTCTGCTAAATGAAGGTTTACATGGTGTAATTTCAAAGAAATTTCTAAAAAATTATTTTCTGAATCTAGCTGAGGTTGTAGATTAGTAGAAATTTAAGAGGTCTATCAAAGTTTAGAAAAGTTTTAATAAAGCTAAATAATTGTAAAAAACTTTGCTAGAACTCTGCCAGTCTCAATTTGTCTCAAATACTTTCGATATCTTACCTTCGAACTAAAGAATCCATTCATATGTTGTCTGACTCTTCTGGATGAAGGTCTATTTTATTGTCAAAAATTGTCAAAGTATATGGCAAAACTTTAAAGCAGGTTATAAAGAAGATTGATGATATTTAGAAAGCATCTAGTTCAGCTCAGAGCACGCTGTCACTAATTTATACTTACTTCTGGTCAGATTTTTCTTCCTTAATTAGTGTATTTGGAAAGAAATAGTTCTTCGCAGTAGCTCCTGGGCTACAGAAAATCCTTTTGTTCTATAAAAATATGAGTTGATTTAGAAGAAATAGATAAATTAGAGGTCTCTAATCTGCCTCTATCTCGTTTTCTCTGGGTAAACCATCGAAGACGACCCATTTACTCAATTTTTAGTGACCTCCTTAGTAATTCACTATTATAAGTGCATTATTGGAACCAATTATGAAAAATGTATAAAAATACTACCCTTCACAAAGATTTTTATGAAATTTCTTCAAAAAATCTCCTCAAACTTTGAACCTTTCGAGCAAATCAAATCTCTTGAAGAGAAAGTTTACAAAATTTCGTAGGAATTACATTATTTTACACTCCATGAATTGGAAAATCGATCGAGCTTAAATATTCTTTAGAAATTAACTCTTTATAAGCACTTCTTGCTGTAGATTTCTCATTGAAATCATTACTAATCAAGGTGAACTCATATTTGCATGAAAAAGCTGACTATCAGGGTGATATAAATTATCCAACTTTCAGCGACTGAAAATAAGTCATAAACTAGACGAATAGAATATTCACGGATTGGTGAGGGCGAACAATTTCATTATTTAAAATTTATAATACTTGACTGTAACTAGTCTTGGGTTTAGAGTTATGAAGGTTTTACTCAACCTATTTAGATAGGTATCCTAAATTATTTAGAGAAGATATGGTTGTAATAACCACCCAATGGTTTATTTACTTCTAATAGTCTAACCAAGTTGTTTAAAATGAGGTTTAAATATTTTAACTCCTTAGATGTGACCATTTTAAACCTATTTGGTCAGCATATTTCAGAATTTCAAAACCAGAAATTGTAAAGACAGGGAATAACCGGTGATTCGGGGGTTTCATGGGGTTTTAGGACAATTTGTCCATACTCTTAAACCTTCGAAATTGTTTAAGAAGAGAATTGAAGAATCCACACTGTTTGTGATAAGTGTTGTAACACCTCAACTTATGTGCATGAGTCTTTATGTCTTTATTAAGCTAAAAAAATATCTGGAAGCCTCATTTGTCGTAAAAATTATTTTCGAACTGAAAGTCAATATTTTCACTAAAAAGCAAGTCTTTTTTTGGCGAAAAGTCATCATTTTGATAGTGAAATAGGCTTTAAAAAGCAGAGAGTTAACAATCCATTTGACGAACCTGAGGGTACTTGGCCGTCGTTTGAGTGGTAAGGAACTTATCGTCATGCTTTAAGTGTCTCCTGCCGTTCATTGAAGGGTTCTTTACTCATGTAAAGGTTTGATTTTGATTTGCATATTTAATTAAGAACTTCTTGCGAGTCTCCATATCCTATATGAATGCTCATGAATGCGATTAAAGACCGAAATCTAACAGCAAAAGCTAATTTAGAAGAAGATTTGGGCTGAAAGTATGCGGAATTGGCCTTACGATAGAATTAAAGGAACTCTGTTCTTTTCTTAGCTTTATTTTCTTTTTCTTGGTGAGCTTGAGAGTATCTTTAGTTTGGTTCAGTGAAATGAAAGGAATCCGTTCTCTATAGGTGAGGTTGATGTGGTTAGGTATCTTTGGGACTGGGGTTGGAGGAATTAGCCATTTTTTGGAATTTAAAATGGGCTTGATGTTTAATGTGAGGTTTATCAGAGGAAAGAAATTTCTGTGAAAATTAAATTTAGGGATTTAGTATTATCAATTAAAAAGGAGATAAAGAATGAGGTCATTATTTAAACTAAATCCTTTTTTATTCCCTAGACTAGTTTCATCTTATACCCTTAAGGCTCTCTGTACTCCCCAGCCATCACATTCTCTAAAATTCCATTTCCTCCTTTTTAACCCTTTTCCTCATAAAGGTTTGAATCCTTACAGGTTGTCCATTTTTTAGGCAAATTTATTAATTATATCAAACTATAATGCTTCAATCTTATATGGCTCATTTGGGGTTTTGGGGTTTTGGGGTTTTGGGGTTTTGGGG